CCCGAGTGGTACCTTTGTCCTCCCCTCCAGGCCAAGGGATGCAAACTGCCCTCCCCTCCGGGCCCGGGGATGCAAACTGTTCTCTGCTCCCCTCTTCCCACCGCCCTTTCCCAGGACCCCACTTCAGGTTCTTCCCCAGCCCAGCCTGTTGCTTTCAGACCAGAGGGGCTGAGCTGACACCTGCACTCCGAGCAGCCACTGGGCTAAGTGCGCTGGGCATTTCCCAGTCAGTTATGAAAGCAGGCTTCACAAGTAGGAATTAAAACCATCCCTGTTTTGCAGATGAGAAACCGAGGCTCGGCCCTTGGAGCCCAGTTCATGTTGGAGCAAGTGAGGGCACTGAGCCTGTACTCTTAACCCCAGGGCTCGACTGGCACAGGTGGACATCTAGGCCAAGGACAGCAGGCCTTCTGGAACCAGGAGAGGGTGAGGAACGGCTGCGACCCTGGCAGGGGTGTGGTGGGAAGGAGGTGTGGAGCAGAGACTGGGGGGTTCCCATCTCCTCCCAGTCCTCTTTTCTGGGAGGGTCAGAGCAGGGAGGCCCCTGGGGGTGCTGCTTACTGTGTGGTCCTCTCCTCAACTTGGGAGGAGGTTCACAGGAATAGAGCCTGGGTGGCCGGGTTTGTATTTTGTCTTTCAATTCCTTACTTCTGCCACAAATATTTCTCGTCTTTTCTGTTTGTTTCAAATTGAGATCTTCAGTAACCACTACTCAAGTAAGACTCTGAACTCTGTGTGTGCGGAGGACGCTGCCCAGTTCAACTGCTGGAGTGACTCGAGGAGCCTCGTTCACAAGCACAATGACTTTCCCCACGGCAGCCCTTCTGGAAGGAGCGGCCCTGTGCCTGCTGCCAGAAGCAGAGGCCTCCCTTCAGGGCATGGCACAGGCTGGTCCACCCCATCCCCAGAGTTGAGGGAGAGCCTCCCAGTCCAGGGAGTGCTGGGGAATGAGGCGCAGCTGGGAGTTGACCTGCTTCCACCAGAAGCAATGGAAATCCTGCCCAAGTCCAAGTCCAAAGGCAGAGCCATGGCCAGTTCCACGCCAGGCAGGCGGACTCCTCGGGGCAGCATCCTATTGGCAGAAACAGTATGACCTTCTGAGCTCCATGCTTTTTTTTTTTTTTTTTTCCTGAGACAGAGTTTCGCTCTTGTTGCCCAGGCTGGAATGCAATGGCGTGATCTTAGCTCACCGCAACCTCCATCTCCCGGGTTCAAGCGATCCTCCTGCCTCAGCCTCCCAAGTAGCTGGGACTGCAGGTGTGAACCAACATGCCTTTTTTTTTTTTTTTTTGACAGAGTCCCACTATGTTGCCAGGCTGATCTCAAACTCCTGGGCTCAAGCAATCCTCCTGCCTCGGCCACCCAAAGTGCTGGCCTTAACTTTTTCACATGGTAGGAACATTTCTCCATAACTTTTCCATTCCACTTTAATGTACTGTGTGACATCCCAAGCTCAAACAGCCTTTTGGTGTTGGACGTCTAGGTTATCGGTTGCTGTTACCACATTAATGCTGTGAACAACATCTTTGTACCAATCTGTTATTTCTTTTTTTTTTTTTTTTTTTGAGACGGAGTCTTGCTCTGTGGCCTGGGCTGGAGTGCAGTGGCCAGATCTCAGCTCACTGCAAGCTCCGCCTCCCGGGTTTACGCCATTCTCCTGCCTCAGCCTCCCGAGTAACTGGGACTACAGGCGCCCTCCACCTCGCCCGGCTAGTTTTTTGTATTTTTTAGCAGAGATGGGGTTTCACCGTGTTAGCCAGGATGGTCTCGATCTCCTGACCTCGTGATCCGCCCGTCTCGGCCTCCCAAAGTGCTGGGATTACAGGCTTGAGCCACCGCGCCCGGCCACCAATCTGTTATTTCTATCTCCTGGGTCAGAAGGCAGAGTGGTATATTTCTGGAAAGCTCTGCAGGGCCGGTCAGGACAGGGCCTTGTAGGCCAGGGAAGGATTTGGCTCTTAGTACTAAATGCAGTGGCCACTGAAGAAGGTGGACGATTCTCATTTCAGGTGTGTGTTTGTAAATGATCTCTGTACAATGAAGAAAAAAATGGGCTGGTTTGGTGACAGGAAGGGTGGACGTGAAAGCAAAGTGGATGGCCACAGGTTCAGGAGGCCAGCAGGACCCAGTGCCCTCGGTCTAAGGCATAATCAACTGGCAGAATACATGGCATCACCAGGCACTTATCTGAGAACACTGGAGAAGGGCTAGACGTGTCTGGGGTTTTTTTCTGATGGGGTTTGGGGGAGATCACTCATTAGTCTTGGCTGTGTTGAGCTTCAGGCGCTGTGGAGATGTCAAAGTGGTAGAGACATCAGAATCTGGACTAGAGCTGCAGAGCCAGGAGTTATTGACGTGAGGATGGCAGCAGAAGGCAGAGGCCTGGCTCACATCACCTAAGAGGGCCTGTGTGGTGAGGCCTGGGCCCAGAAAACTAGCACCGCTCCATTACGACCGGCAGAGGCCACAGTAACTGCAAAGTACCCACAGAACCCCATGTGTATCAGCAACCCCGATGGGTCAAGAGCTGTACATGTGAGCTGGAAGCCAGCATCCGTGGCCCAGCTGCGTAGGGCCAGATGCTTGGTTTGTCTCAGAAGCAGGAACTGCATTGCTGCACAGCTTGAGCACCCGCACATGGGGCACCCCCGCCCCCCAGCCTCCTACTATAAGCGTTTCTAGATGGAAATGGAAGAGGGGGTGTTTAGGGGAAATGAAGAAAAGGGAGCTGCAGTGATTAGATCAGTTAACTGGGAGAAAAGGAGAAAAACAGCTCTAGGGCAGCGTCAAGGCAGCATCCTGACATAAATCCAGGCTTTTCCATCGTGAGCCTGATGGCTGTCATGTGGAAAGTGGCCCATTTCCAGTCATTTTGCTGGAGATCACCGGGAATGCCTGCACTGGAAGTTATGTGCATGGAGGATTCCAGCAACTCCATTTTAATACAAAATACCGGAAACCAAACAAGTGACCATGAACAAACGAATGATAGGGAATTTACACAATCAGCTACCCAGAGTGGTAAAAAACTCCAGCTACCTGCTGAAAAAACCGCGGATGTATCCTTTGAGGTAGACATTGTGTTCTGAGTGATATTAAGGCATCAAGTAAACATCCCTCTAAAAGGAAGACATTACAATGTAAAAATCAGTTCCCTAAAATCCAACTCCACAGAGCATCATGGCTGAATTCAGTCGAGGTCATCAAGAACTGCTAAGGCCAATGTTTTTAAAGGCTTTACAATATCTTTTAAATGATTGCTCTATTTTATGAACACCAAAAACTACCTAAAAACCCCGATGAAAAAATATCCATAAATACGGATGTATAGACTGTATGTATTGCACAAACATCTCTTCCGCCCCATGAGAGACACACTGGCTGTGTCTGCCAGTGACGTCTGCTCATCCGTGTGTCCGATTCCAGTGTCTGACTCTTGTTCATGGTCAGCTGTGACTTTCCAGGCCTAGTACCTTCCCTAGAGAGAATGTGTGCTGAACAAGGAACAGAAAGCAAGGGTTTTGTTGTTGCTGTTGAGATGGAGTCTCGCTCTGTCGCCTCGGCTGGAATGCAGTGGCATGATCTCGGCTCACTGCAACTCCCACCTCCCAGTTGAAGCAATTCCCCTGCCTCGGCCTCCCAGGTAGCTGGGACTACAGGCAAGCGCCACCACGCCCGGCTAACCTTTTGAATTTGAGTAGAGACGGGGTTTCACTATGTTGACCAGGATGGTCTTGATCTCCTGACCTTGTGATCTGCCCGCCTCGGCCTCCCAAAGTGTTGGGATTACAGGCGTGAGCCACTGTGCCCGGACAAGTCATCACTTCTATATCAGTGCAAGAAGTATCTCCTAGCAGTGGTTTCAGCACCATCTATACTGAAGGAATGGACCTTTCTAGAAGAATCTGCCAAAGAATAACCTAGCAACTACTCATTTTGAGTCAGCAGAAAAAGGTGCTTAGCAACAATAAAACCCATATAGGTATCGGTAACCACAACACAATAAAAATACAAAACGCAAATACCCTGGGCCCAGAGGTGCATGGGCCACAGTAGAAATAGTAAAAGAGTGGAAACTTTAAGTTTAGAAAACAAATTATTGTGGACCACTGCAGAGCAGAAACATTTAATTAGGGCAGTGAACCAGTGTAACATAATTTTAATGCTAATGATTACCACCAGGCTTCAAAAACAAAAAATTAGGCTGGGCGTGGTGGCTCATGCCTCTAATCCCAGCACTTTGGGAGACGGAGGAGGAAGGTGGATCACTTGAAATCAGAAGTTCGAGACCAGCCTGACCAACATGGAGAAACCTTGTCTCTACTAAAAATACAAAACTGGCCAGGCGTGGCGGCTCATGCCTGTAATCCCAGCTACTCGGGAGGCAGAGGCAGAACCACTTGAACCCGGGAGGCGGAGGCTGCGGTGAGCCAAGATCACGCCACTGCACTCCAGCCTAGGCAACAAGAGTGAGACTCCGTATCAAAAAAAAAAAAAAAGAAGAAAAAAAATTCAGGCCAGGAATGGTGGCTCATGCCTGTAATCCTAGCACTTTGAGAGGCTGAGACAGGAGGATCACTTGAGCCCAGGAGTTCGAGACCAGCTTGGGCAACATGGCAAGAGCCCTTTCTCTACTAAATTAGCCAGGACTGGTGGCACACATCTGTAGTTCCAGCTACTGGGGAGGCTGAAGTGGGAGGATCCCTTGAACGTGGGAGGCGGAGGTTGCAGTGAGCTGAGATTGCACTGTTACACTCCAGCCTGGGTGCCAGAACAAAGCCCTGTTTCAAAAAAAAAAGTTTAAATTCAGTTCACTGTGGTTCCAATCGAAAGGGAGAAACCATTTTCCTAAGAAAAATGAATATAACCTATAAAATGTGATCAAAGAAAACAGCCAAGCCTGTATGTGGGAGATGTGGATTAAATCAGTAAAAAGCCTGTCACCAACAATGCACTTTACAGCAGTCAATCAGAGAATCTGTAACAAAGCCAGGAAGCCGTGCTGTCGAAGCAGGATTTTATTTCACAATTACTGGAATCTGAAACGAGGAACGCAAGAGAGAGCATGCATGATGAACGCACTGCTCAGGTGATCAGAGCCAAAGAGTTGCAAGAAAATGAACAAGAGATGAAGGACATGGTTTGCAGCTCAATCTGTTTCTACAGCACAATGGAAGTGAAAGATAAGGCAGCCCTTAGACTCAGGATTTTTAATAAACTCTGGTTTTTAATAACCATGGAACAATGCCCTGTAATTAGCTGTAATTTACGGAGATGTGGAATCTTGAACACGATGTGATGAAAACTAAACCTCAGAGGAAGAGTATGGTAAAAATACAAGTCATAATATTATTGTTGCTAGGAACTTGTTCCTGTTTGTAGAAATGAATGGCAACCTGTACCACGCTGATATAATGGTGGGAGAGATTTCTGGCCGGTCTGTGGTTCCGAGTCTCACCTAGTTTCTTCAGGCTCAGTGCTTCTCCCTCTGGGCACATATATCCCAGAAGGCTACGTGTAGCCAAGACATTCCCAAGACACTAGATGCCCCATGTGTCACACCCCTGCCTTTAAAAGGTTAGCCAACCAGGTGACCTTCTAAGGTACCTTTTTGGTTTTAGAGATGGGGTCTCACTCTTTTGCCCACGTTGGACTCGAATTCCTGGGCTCAAGCAATCCTCTTGCCGCAGCCTCCCGAGTAGCTGGGACTACAGGCACGTGCCACCACACCCAGCTTGAGGTTCCTTTTGGGGCTTGGTAACATACATGTTGGGATCAGTCACTCACAGACAATGCTCCATGGAAATTCTACCAAAATGCTTCCTGAAGGAGGAAAGACTCATCTCTTGCCACTTTCTGGAATGCATCCACGGACGTCAGACTGTTCCAAGGTTCTAATTTGTTCACAGTTCTTTTCTTCCAGAATACAAAAGACATAATCCTTTTGGGACCACGAAATTAATAAACTCTGAAATCCACTGCACCAAGACCTCTAGGGTGGTTTTAATAGACTGAGTTTAAATGGCAATTTTAAAAACTGAAAAGCTTTCCTCACATTTCTAGAGTCAACACTGGAGGCTGACAATTAAAGGTGAGACAACAGGAAACCACATGCCCTATCACAGGTACAACCTGTGGATCTTAGTATTGACCTTGAGTTGATGCGACTATTGTTATATTACAAGATTATGCAGCAGCGCCGTAAACACGTGCCCATCAAAGACCCTTGCTTGGGTAAAAAAGGCATGAAAGGGCCTCTCACCAGGTGCTGCAGACCACAACACCTAATGTCTGGCCAAACTCTGGATGCTTTCAATGATGAACCTGAGCAGGCACTGCTGAGCCGCCCGACAGTGCCCTGGCACCGACTGTAACAGAGCCCTGTAAGACTGCCTGGCGGCTGGGATCAGAAGCCTCAGCATCCCTTGTTCTCTGTGCTTATGGTACCCATGAAGTCAGTTCCAAGCAATTTTTGGATGTCCATAAGGCTGAGAAAAGAAAACATAAGAGTGATCAGATCAGCAGTATCTGGAGCATGAGGAATTAGCCTTGTTTTAACTACAAGCTAAAAGAACAATATAAACAGCTGTTTCATTTCCAGCTGAAAAAGTCTGACCCTAAGCCATCAATGAGGCACTTGATAACTTTTTAGTTTTGAGTATTAGCCCTAAGAAACACTTTCACATGTGATCTGTGAAACCTGACCCCGACACTCTCACTGATCCATGGCCAAGTGGGTTTAGGAAATGCTGTTCCCTGTGCCTGTGAGAGTCAGTGTATGAGGGCACGTGGCCTATGGCGAACGCTACTCTAATTCTGTTTCACTCCGTTTCCCAGTGTCATCGGACCACGAGGGAGCCAGCCCTCATTCTGCAGCATGTGTCCTGGGGAATGCACTCCAGGCACCAAGAGGTCAGGGTGGCCCGGGTAAAGGAGGGCAGAGGGGACAACCAACAGCGGGGGTGCTTCAGTCATCAGCTTCCTCAGGGCAGGGGAGACAGCATTTGCTTCTCTGTGCTCCCCACGGTGCTGTGCAGAGAGGTCCAGGAACAAAGACACTGAGAGGCAGAGAAACAGATACACACACGGCAGGGAGGGGAGGGGAGGACACCCACAGGAGGGAGGGAGGGAGGGGAGGGGAGGAGGAGGACCCTACAGGAGGTACGGAGCGGAGGGGAGGAGGAGGACACCCACAGAGGGGAGGAGGAGGACACCCACAGAGGGGAGGAGGAGGACACCCACAGAGGGGAGGAGGGAGGGACACCCACAGGAGGGAGGAGGAGGACACCCACAGGAGGGAGGGGGAGGGAGGACACCCACAGGAGGGGGAGGGGAGGAGGACACCCCTGGGAGGGAGGGGAGGAGGGGACACCCCACAGAGGGGGAGGAGGAGGACACCCACAGGAGGAGGGAGGAGGACACCCACAGAGGGGAGGAGGACACCCACAGAGGGAGGAGGACACCCACAGAGGGGAGGAGGGAGGACACCACAGAGGGGAGGAGGAGGACACCCACAGGGAGGAGGGGAGGAGGGACACCCACAGAGGGGGAGGAGGACACCCACAGGAGTGGGGGGAGGGAGAGGACACCCACAGGGAGAGGAGGACACCCACAGGGGGAGGAGGAGGACACCCACAGGAGAGAGGACACCCACAGGAGGAGGGGAGAGGGAGGACACCCACAGAGGGGAGGAGGACACCCACGGAAGGGGAGGAGGGGACACCCACAGGAGGAGGAGGAGGACACCCACAGAGGGGGAGGAGGGGAGGACACCCACAGAGGGAGGGAGGAGGGGACACCCACAGGAGGGGAGGAGGACACACCCCCAGGAGGAGGAGGACACCCACAGAGGGGGAGGAGGAGGACACCCACAGGAGGGGAGGAGGAGGACACCCACAGGAGGGGAGGAGGACACCCACAGAGGGGAGGGGAGTAGGAGGACACCCACAAGAGGGAGGGAAGGAGGGGAGGAGCGTGGTAGGGAGGGAGGGGAGGAGGGCGGTAGGGAGGGAAGGGAGGAGGGGGGCCGGTCTCCTGTTCACCCGGCTTCGCTGTCTCAGCAGCTGGAGCCTAGACCTACTGCTCTGACCCCTCTCAGCAGCTGTGCCCACAGCTCTTCTTAGATTGCCCAAAGAGGGTGGATAGGCATGCAGCTTAGTAGGCAGAGGCCAGAGCAAAATCACTTCAAGGTTTGAGGCCCAACCAAGGACTGGAACAGCCCCTGCGTCAGGGCTCCCTGCTGGTCAGGGAAAAGAGGAATACAAGAGAAGAGGAACAAGGAATAACCCGGATGGCCAGAGAGCAGAGTCATGGCAGGGCGATGAGCAGGCCCAGGAGAGCAGGGGCTGGGCAGAGTCTGTCTTGCTGGTGTTGGCCTGTCTCCTGGCAGACTTCCTACCTTGGGCCGGTAGCCCTGCTTGGCCATAGTCTTTGCCTCCTGCTGCAGCAGGGTATCTGAGAGCTGCTCGACCCGCCGGGCCTCCTCCTCTTCCTCCTCCTCCTGCTGGTCTGCTTCCCATGCCTGCAGCCGACGTTCTGCAACCTGGGTGCCAAGAGCAAAGTCACCCCCGCGACAAGGCCCACAGAGCAGACCCCTGCCTCTGATGAGGAGGGTAAGCCCACGGTCCTACCCAGACTGGAGAATACAGCTGAGCAATAGCAATGCAGGTGCCAAGGAACAGACGGGAGCACACGGGACTTGAAAGGCTATACGCATGGCATGTACCTTGTAGAAAGCTAGAAAGGCTATACGCGTGGCGTGTACCTCGTGCAAAGCTGGAGAGGCTGTATGTGTAGCGTGTACCTTATGGAAAGCTGGAGGCTATACGCGTGGCATGTACCTCGTGAAAAGCTCGGCATGTGGCCAGGTGTTTGGACGACTGTTCTGTCTTATGTATCAAGGACTGAAATGAAGAGAGAACTGTGGCCCCCAGGAAGCCAACTATTTGCAGAAACAGACAGAGTAAAGAGAACAGATAGCAGTGCCAGCCTCACCCATACAACATGGAGGATATGGAGGGAAAGAAGCCAGTCATGAGGATGAGGACTGCAGCTGGGATGGAAAGGGGGGCACTGTGTTCTCAAACGCACCCCTGCCAGGCAGTCCAGGGCCTCGGAACCCTGTCCCAGGATGATGCGAGACCCACAGCAGGCCCACTGCCTCCTGCCCTCGGGCTCAGCCCCACCTGGGCTTCCAGCTCCTGCTTCCTGGCCGATTTCAGTTCTTCACTCTCCTCTTTCTCACGACGAGCTGACTTTCTTGCCTCCTCGAGATTTTGAATAAGTTGCTCCCTGTGTTTCAGGGATTCCTCTTGTGCCCGTCGGTTCTGTTCAATCTTCTCTTGTATTTGCTGTTGCCTCCCTGTCAGAACCTAACCTCGGCAGAAAGAAAAGGGCAGCTTTGAGGTTGACCCTAACAGATCCTGGTTCCACAAGCCTTGGACAGGCTGTAGCTACAGCAAGGCCCAGCCTCATCCTTGGGCCTCAGGCCCAAGTACACAGACAGAGGCAGAGCCAGACTACAGGATTTGCTCTCATGTCGGCCACGCCTGCCAGTATACAAGATGCGTTTCCCTTGCACCCCAACACACACAAAATGTATCCAGACTGTGTATTATGGAGAGACAGCTGAGTGCCAAGAAATTAAAGGAGATGGGGATGGAGCGCTCTCCCCAGGGACACAGAAACCTTGCAGCAACAAGGTGAGTCTCCCTCCTCTCAGAGGGTTCCAAAAACAAGAGAGCCACAAGCCACACAGATGACCAGAGGCGGAGCCGCGGTGATCCTCTAACCTTCTTTTGAACCTGCTGTGTTTGAGACCTGGCCCCAGAGCCGTGTGACGCCTCAACTCCAGCCCAGGCCACAGTCAGGAGCAAGAAGCCACCTGACACTCTCCACAGTGACGCTGCAGGGCTGGGGGGACAGAAAGTGGCTGCCATCAGGAGGAAAATCAAAAGGCACTGGAGAATTCTTAGTATTTACAAGAGCAAAACATCACCAACTGGGACCTGATTTCCTGTGGATTCCAAAATACAACATACTACCAGACACAACATAGAGGTTCTCATTCAAAACCACTTTACAACAGCTTTCAGCCCATGGATGACACACTCTCTTCTCCCAGATTTCCCTGCAGTTGGGGTGTGTCTTCCACACACAGTGTACACACTGACCAGCAAAGCAGTTACGTCCTCCAGTTCACGGCCGTCGTCTACCCAGAGCGGGGAAACGCGTGGGAAGAGCCTCAGGCACCAAGAGGCTCTCGGCAGCGTTTCTCAGAACGGCTTCCAATTAGAAAAACACAGCACACCCATCAGAGGGAATGGAAAGACAGCGGGTGACAGAGGACAGTCCGCCATACAGCCCCGACGTGGTGTTTATAAAGATGTAACAGCATGTCACAATGCTTGAAGCCAAACAGCACAAGACAGCAAGAAATACATGTAGAAAAAAGGTCAGGCATAGAAACAGAAGAGCAGATGGACGAAGCAGCTATGGCTGCGTACAGGATGGGCTCTGGGGTACTTTTTTCCATTCCTACTCTCTGTACTTCTGAATTCTTTTCTACTAAACTCATATTACTTTTTCAATGATTTTTAAAGCCCACTTAAAACGACCAGAGAAGATTGTTCCCAGAGCATCTGGCAGGGTGACTGACCATGGACTTCCAGACACTTGCCCAGGACCCAGTAGCCGGTCCACGTCGCCGCAGCTGGGATTACCTCGCTCATCAGTTTGTCCCGTGCGCTGCGCTCTCGGGCCCACTCTGCCTCTCTCTTTTCCCACATCTCCTTGGCCTCCTCCCTGGACAAACACAAAAGGGACGACAGCAGGCTCCTCCCCGCCCTGGCAGGAAGTGAGCTACAGAACACACAGGACTGCAGGGCACATGGCTGCTGCAGGGCCACCCTGCAGATAAACATCCGCACACACTTTGAAAAGATTACAATTAAGGACAGAATCCATGGAAAGTACTGTTGAAAGTTTTTTATTTTTTTATTTTTGAGATGGGTCTCACTCTGTTGCCCATACTAGAGTGCAGTGGTGCGAATCTAGGCCCACTGCAACCTCCACCTCCCAGGTTCAAGTGATTCTAGTCCCTCAGCCTCCTGAGCAGCTGGGATTACAGGCATGCATCACCATGGCCGGCTAATTGTTGTATTTTTAGCAGAGATGGGGTTTCACCATGTTGGTCAGGCTGGTCTTGAACTCCCAACCTCAAGTGATCTACCTGCCTTGGCCTCCCAAAGCGCTGGGATTACAAGTGTGAGCCACCGTGTTGGAAGTATTTCAAGTTACCTTTTTAATACCCCCATCTCCTTATAAAAAGCAACTGGGGCGACTTACACCATGGCTGTTTAACACAGAGATGAATGAAACCATCAGGACCTGGAGAGAAGCAGGGCGCTGCCTGGGCCTGAGCCCTGCCACCATGCGCCTGTGTCATTGATAGCTCACCCTGGACCAAGTGACCTCTTCGAGTCTCCGTGTCTCACAAGCCACCACTTGGCTGAAAGTCAGGACTCAGTAAGATGAGGCCTATAAAGCACTTGGCACAATGTCCAGCATGCAGTAAGTGCTCAATGTATGCTACTTATTATTCGATGATTTCAATCTACTAGTTTAATCTTTAGGACCCAAACTCAGTTTTATATATGTAAGCAGCATTCAACATCTCTATAAGAACTTCCTTCTGGCTGGGCATGGTGGCTTATGCCTATAATCCCAGCACTTTGGGAGGCCAAGGTGGGCGGATCACAAGGTCAGGAGTTCAAGACCAGCCTGGCCAAGATGGTGAAACCCCGTCTCTACTAAAAATTCAAAAATTACCCGGATATGGTGGCGGGCACCTGTAATCCCAGCTACTCGGGAGGCTGAGGCAGAGAATTGCTTGAACCCAGAAGGCAGAGGTTGCAGTGAGCCAAGATCACGCCACTGCACTCCAGCCTGGGTGACAGAGCGAAACTCCATCTCAGAAAAACAAAAAACAAAAACAAAGAATTTCCTTCCAAACCTCTCAGATTTCAGATGAACACATCGTTACTCTAAACCTTAATGATTTCTACCTCAGATAATACAAGGGAAACACCCCCAGAGGCCAGGTCCATTATGAAGATGTGCTCCTCGGGAATGATGGACAACATACACAGGTATTTCTTCTTCTTTTTTTTTTTTTTGAGACAGAGTCCCGCTCTGTCACCCAGGCTGAAGTGCAGTGGTGCAATCATGGCTGATCAGAGCTTCAACCTCCTGGGCTCAAGTGATTCTCCCACTTAGCCTCCCAAATAGCTGGGACTACAGGTATGAACAACCACGCCTGGCCAATTTGTGTATTTTTGGTAGATACTGGGGTTTTGCCATGTTGCCCAGGCTGATCTCGAACTCTTAGGCTCAAGCGATCCACCTGCCTTGGCCTCTCAAAGCGCTGGGATTACAGGTGTGAGCCTCCACGCCCAGCCAATAGATATTTTAGTAACAGGTGACCCATGGGGCATTTCAAGGTACCAGAGTCTAGGCCAGGAGCGTCTGGTCCAGTCAGTGGCCGCCCTCACCTCAGCAGCACCTGCAGCTCTGCCTCCCGCGCCCGCTCCAGTTGCAGCTGCTCCTCAATGGCCTGCTTCATCCAGGCCGCATCGGCCACAGCCTGCTCCCGCCTGGCCAGGTTGAGGCGCTGGCTCTCGTCCTCCTTCTCAAGCAGGGCCTGCAGGATCCGCCTGTCTGCCTCCTAGAGGAAGCAGAGGGTGGCATGTGGCTGGGCTGGACGGAGCCCTTCTGCAGTGAGAGCCTACAGAGGGGCCTGCCCTTCCTTTCCTTTCTACACAGACATTAGTGATCCTACACAGTGTTCTCAAGACAGAGATGGGAAGATGCTGAATTATTTCTGGAATAGACCGGGGATAACCACGAGGGGTGGTTCAGACACGGCACAGGCCTAGGAGCTTCCCTCTGGCTAAAGGGAGACTCCACCACCACCACATGCCCTCGGACACACCTGGTTGCGCAACTTTTTGGAATATAACTTAGCAAAAATTCCACTTGTAAGAATAAAGACCACAGTGACACAAAGGTGCAAAACACTCGTTGCAGCTTTTATATAAGAGGGAAAAACCAGAAACAACCAAAATGCTCCTTGGTGGGGAATTAGCTACTATGCACATAGACATAATGGAAGCATTAAAAGAGTGCAGGAGGCTGGGCACTGGAGCTCATGCCTGCAATCCCAGCACTTTTGGAGGCTGAGATGGGATGATCACTTAGGCCTAGGACTTCAAGACCAGCCTAGGCAATGTAGCAAGACCCCATCTCTACAAAGCATGGTGATGCACACCTATGGTCCCAGTTACTCGAGAGGCTGAGGTGGGAGGATGGCTTGAGCCTGGGAGGTCAAGGCTGCAGTGAGCCGTGATTGTGCCACTGCACTCCAGCCTGGACAACAGAGCAAGACCCCATAAAAAACAGCTGCACACCAGGACCAACTGTGCCACTGTGCCCCATATTGGGTCTGTCCCCCTCACTGCAAGGGAGCTCATCAAAGTACTTAGGAATATGAAGGAGCTATTTGAAAAGAACAGGTTCAATCTAAGCATAATGACCTTTTTTTGTTTGTTCTTTTTGAGACAGAGTCTCACTCTGTTGCCCAGGCCTGAGTACAGTGGTGCGAACTCGGCTCACTGCAACCTCCACCTCTTGGGTTCAAACAATTATCCTGTCTCAACCCCCCAAGTGGCTGGGATTACAGGCATGCACCACCATGCCCGGCTAGTTTTTGTTGCTGTTTTGAGAGAAGTCTCACTCTTGTTCCACAGGTTTGAGTGCAATATCTCCATCTTAGCTTACTGCAACCTCCACCTCCCGGGTTCAAACGATTCTCCTGCCTCTGCCTCCCAAGTAGCTGGGATTAAGGCGCCTGCCACCACGCCCAGCTAATTCTTGTATTTTTTAGTAGAGACGGGGTTACACCACGTTGGTCAGGCTGGTCTCAAACTCCTGCTGACCTCAGGTGATCCACCTGCCTCGGCCTCCCAAAGCACTGGGATTACAGGCGTGAGCCACAGCGCCTGGCCATGCCCGGCTAGTTTTTGTATTTTTAGCAGAGATGGGGTTTCACCATGTCGTTCAGGCTGGCCTCAAACTCCTGACCTCAAGTGATCCGCCTGCCTCGGCCTCTCAAAGTGCTGGGATTACAGGCGTGAGGCACCGTGCATGGCCAATCTTTTAAAAAATTAGAGATTTAGTGTTAATTGAAGATGTTGAGGACTGCAAACTCAATTAGATTTAAATACAAAAACAAAAACAAACCTCCACCTCTCTGTATGTAAATATATCTAGAAAGATGAGCACCAGACAGACACCTCTGGGGACAGACAGAGATTGTAGGCACTGGTCAAGGGGGATCTCACTTTGCGTTGTGATGTTCAGTAACACGTTTACTGAAAAACAATTTGATGTTTTGATATCTGTATCTATCCATCTATGCTGGCAAAGGATCCTTACGGTCAAGCTAATTAACATATTCATCATCTCACAGTTGGTTTTTCTGGTGACAACACTTAAGATCAACTCTCGGCCGGGCGCGGTGGCTCAAGCCTGTAATCCTAGCACTTTGGGAGGCCGAGACGGGCGGATCACGAGGTCAGGAGATCGAGACCATCCTGGCTAACATGGTGAAACCCCGTCTCTACTAAAAAATACAAAAAACTAGCCAGGCGCGGTGGCGGGCGCCTGTAGTCCCAGCTACTTGGGAGGCTGAGGCAGGAGAATGGCGTGAACCCGGGAGGCGGAGCTTGCAGTGAGCTGAGATCGGCCACTGCACTCCAGCCTGGGCCACAGAGCAAGACTCCGTCTCAAAAAAAAAAAAAAAAAAAAGATCCAACTCTCTTAGCAAATTTCAACCGTCTCAAAAAAAAAAAAAAAAAAAAAAAAAAAAAAAAAGATCAACTCTCTTAGCAAATTTCAAGAATACAATAAGGTATCATCAGCTGTGGTCAACATGCTGGACACTATTCCCGGATCTCCTAACTGAGGGATGTACCCTTTGACCAACATCTCCCCTTTCCCCCAACCCCTCACTGTCTTTTCATTCTTACGAGAATACACTCATATACTAAGCAATGGAAGACTTTTTTTTCAAAAGAGGGTAAGAAAGATGTCAGGCTGTCTCTTCAGACTTACCAACTCCTCTTGGATCTGCTGTGTGCGTCTGTTGAGCTGAGCGTTATACTGATGTCTCAAGAAGCGCCTGAAGGAGAATCAAATGTGTGCTGCCTTCAGTATCTCAGAAAGAATGAAATAGTAGTTAGACAACTGCTGACCAGGCTGTCTACTTTACGGTTTCGGCAACACGAATGCAAGTCTGAAAAAGCAAGAGGCCCACCCGCCTGGGAAGAGTGGGGGCCCTCTGACACACACCCCAGCTCTGCCTTCTGCCGGAAGGCTTCCATCTGCTTCCGCTCTTCCTCCAGCCTCTCCAGCTCCCACCGCTGCTTCAACAGATTCTCCTGCTCCTTCTTTAGTTTGGTCGCCTGTGGTGATGATGAGAGTAAGCTCGACTGAGATCTGAGATCGTGGGAATCAGATCTTCCTTCATTCTCCATCTCCATTTCTCGCAGACACTACACAATGGTGGCCTGGCCATGCAGGTGGTCACGATCCCCTCCCACCACTCACTCACTCATCCCATCTCATCTGAGCCATTTCCTGCAAGGGCCTTTCTGAGCACCGAACTCTAAACTCCCACAGGATCCTGTACTGGTCCACACTTACTGTAACTTAACAACTGTCCTCCAGCTGACACAGCACCCACCAGGAGGTCAGGACTGTGGGCCTTGGTCAGGCTCTATCTCTAGTTCCCAACCCAGTGCTCAGCACCTAGAATAAGTAGCAGGCACTAAGAATGTAGTTCCTGAATCATGGCCTGGGCAAGGGGAGGGGTCACAGGAGATAGGCCTCCCTCATCTAAATAGAAAGATCTAATTCTTTCAAGGAAACTGTACCATGTTCTCCAAAAACAGCTCCTGGACCAAAAACCCTCAGTTATGCCTCAAGACCCGAAACCTGCTCCCCATGGAGAGCCGGGTGCCAGACCACCCGTCTAAATCGTGTCTACTCAGTGCACTGGAAAATCCAGATTCTAAGAAGGTTCTCCAACAGCAGGCCGCTAAGCACCTCTAAGAGAACAGCTACTGGCTCCGTGTTGTTAACGTTCTGGAATCCAGGCACGCAAACGTGGAGGCTGGGAAAGCAGGAGGCGGAAGGGGATGCGTGGGAGCGGGAGAAGCCGGCTGCTGCCGCCCACTGTGGAACCTCAGCCCTGCTATGGCTCTTCTCAGGGCAGCCCCTCAAGTGCCCATCTCACACTAACGAGCAGCTGTGGAGGAGGTCATGGCTGAGAGGGGCTTGTGCCCACCTCCACCTCCTTCAGTTTCAGCTCCTCCATCTGCTGCAGCAGTGCCTCGGCCTGGAGCTTGTCCTCCAGCTGCCTCCTCTCCTCTTCAGCTTTCATCCGTTCTAGCGCCTCCCTTCGGGCCCTTTCATACTCATTTTCGTACCGTTTGTTCTCTTGCTCTGCGGTGGCTTCTTGCTACAAGGGACCGAATAAACACAGGAGGTCAGTATCTGTACTGTAAGCCAACAAAATCCCAGCTTCCTGCCGCCGTTCTGCAGGCCACAGGGCCCAGGCAGATCCTGCCTGAATCCCAAATGACAATGCCCTCAGAGACCAAGTCAGGGAGGGGCTTGATAATGTTGGGTTTCCTCCCCACTCAACAAAACACTTTCTAAAATGAACCAGGCAGCAAAGCGACCAGTGCACGGAGGTGTGGAAGCTCAACCCCAAAGGGGCTACTGGAAGCCAGGGCTGAGAGTTTATGATGCAAATTTCATCAAAAGAGCGACAAAAAAGCCCTTAAAAACACATGTTCTAGCTGGACCCTGTGGCCCATGCCTTTAATCCCAGCACTTTGAGAGGCCCAGGTGGGAGAATCTTTTAAGCCCAGGAGGCCAGACCAGCCTGGGCAACAGAACAAGACCCCATCTCTACAAAAATTAAAAAATTAGCTGGGCACAGTGGTGCACACATGTGGTCCTAGCTGCTCGGGAAGCCGAGTTAGGAGGACTGCTTGAGCCCAGCTGGTCGAGGCTGCACTGAGCTGTGAATTGCGCCACTGCACGCCAGCCTGGGTGACAGAGCAAGACCCTGCCTCCGAAAGAAAAAAAGAAGACGCATACTCTACTTGCCACCTCCCAGTCCTGGTCACCTGGCCTTATTCTGCCTTGGGAATGATCACAAAGGATTCTGGTACGTGTAAAAGCAAACGTTCAGTTTTCACATGTGTCATGTAAACTGAGAAAGAGTATACTATACTCCTTAACTGGAGTCACTGACGCTGAAAACGGTAAAGGAATGCAAAGGCGTCAACAGTCCTGCACAGCAGAACGCGGGGCTATTCCCTGAGTCGCACACCACACCTGTTTTTTTTCTTCTTTCTGCGTTTCCCAAGAGTTTACCACATGCTTCTGGTGAAGGTCCAGCTCCACCTGAGGATGGAAGGGGGAGGGTGTGAATCTCCTCACAGGCATCCAGTAGAGAGCGTGGGGCGACTTCAACATGTACAGTGTGAATGCAAGTCAATCAGAAGACCAAAGGAACGGGCGCTCCTACATCAATCTCCTGAGCTGGTACAAAGTAACAGAGACTTCCTTCCCACTAGCCCTGGGGTTAAGCTGGACACTGAGATGGAAATACAATTTCGAAGGCCAGCGTGGGTTGGTCTCCTGCATGCCAGGCCCCAGGAGACAGCTGGGTGAGGAGAAGACTCAACCCTGTGTCTGGCTCCCCAAAGCTTGCTCTGCAGAGCAGATGGAAAATGTACTCCCTGTAGCAAGTGATGCTCCAGTGGGTGCAACAAGTTTATTATTGTTTTTTTGTTTGTTTGTTTTTTGAGATGGAGTCTCGCTCTGTCCCCCTTGCTGGAGTGCAGTGGCGTGATCTCGGCTCACTGCAAGCTCCGCCTCCTGGGTTCCTGCCATTCTCCTGCCTCAGCCTCCCAAGTAGCTGGGACTACAGGCACCCGCCACCGTGCCCGGCTAATTTTTTGTATTTTTAGTAGAGACGGGGTTTCACCGTGGTCTCGATATCCTGACCTTGTGATCCGCCCGCCTCAGCCTCCCAAAGTGCTGGGATTACAGGCGTGAGCCACCGCGCCCGGCAAGTTTAGTATTGTTAATAAGAGATTTGAGCGCAGAGAATCTCCTGGATTAGAAAATGGATCACAACATTCAATCCAAATCTTTTGTCTGGGAAACTGTTTATAAAATTAGCCGGATATGGAGGCGCCCACCTGTAGCCTCAGCTACTCGGGAGGCTGAGGTGGGAGGATCACTTGAGCCCAGGTTCAAGACCAGCCTGAGCAACATAGGGAGACCCTGTCTCTACAAAAAAGTCTTACAATAATCTTTCCCAACTTACAGCTGTGAACACAGGCAACTAACTTGAATGTTCTGAATAAACTTCTCTGATTTAACGGCTCTAGATGATTCCACCAAAGCCAACAGGGCTAAGGAGTCCCCCCACAGATTAGTGCAAACTACACAAAAGCACTAGATGTTCCATTATTTAGTGACTGGCAATTTCTAAATGTAACTACGAATAACGTGAAGGCACCAAATGCATATAAAAACTGTAAGTTGAAAATAAATTCGTAACAGTGAGGGATGATCTCCCTGCAGCCAAATCTCCACTGAACAAGGCCACCAAGCCAAGAGGTCACCCCCTCTCCTGCAGTTTGTCCTCCTCTCCCGTGCCAGCCCAGTTCAGGCCTTCACCATCCCCCAGCTGGGCTGTCGCAGCAGCCCTCCCTGCCAGCTGGCACACTGCTGCCAGAGGGATCTCTCTGAAATGCAGCCGGGATCCTGTGTGCCGCCCCCAGCACCTTCAGAGGAAGGTCACACAAGCTCTTATGGCGTCTGGCACTGTCTGCCTCACCAGCATTTCTTGGTGTTCTCCCTATCTGACATCCTAGCCTCACCCAGACACTTTCAGCTCCCGGGGCTCACTCTGCTCTCAAGTCTCAGGCCTGGTTCTCATAGTCACATCAACCTAGAACATCTTTTCCTCACCTCTACACACATATATCCCTTCAAACTCTTCCACCCCAGAAACCCCTCTGGGAAGCCTCTCCGACCCCTCCAGAGTTGAGTGCGCTGGCCCATGATCATCCTCTCAGGCTGACCCAGCACCCTGCACCCTGCCTGGTAATGAGCTATCCACTGTTTCCCGTGCTGGAGACAGCAGAAACCACGTCTAATCTCCATGCCCCCACCTGGTAGAACAGGCAGCAGAGCTTCAATCAACATTTGTTCAACAACTGAATGAACCACTCAGTGCAGCCTGTGCCAGATCTTCTGCCTGGCGCTCTTTTCAGGTGGCTCAAGGTTCCCTCCTCTGTTTCAACCCAGTACAAGATATGTGTTTAAAAAAAAAAAAAAAAGGTCTGGAAACATGATTTCATCTACTTAGGCAAATCAATGGAGGTCTCTGATTTTCACCTCTCGAAGTTTCGGGTTGTTCTTTTTCCAGTGTTCATACAAAAGTTGTTCAGCAATCTATCAAGAAAACACAAAATGGAAAGCCTGATGTCAGTTTTCAAATCCATTCATGTTTTGGATGACACACAGTGGAAGTCAGCTCAGGCTATGAGTGCCTCCATTCATACTGTCACTGCACCCACTGTTCAAACCCTTGTGCTTCACATGCACAGCTCTAAGAACCACATGACACTACCAAGTGACTCTTGCAATGGTGACAAAAGGGGACCAAAATCTGATGCTACACAGAGGTCCTATCTAGGGGTCTCAAAATAATACAGCAGGCTGAAAAGCACAGATCAGGGCTCACTGTTTCACATAACTACTTTGGAAGGTAAATCAGATTATTCCCAGATCTCTATGGGCCCAAAGAACTGGAAGAAAGGAAAAGCACTCAGATGTAATGATTGAAGGGGCTAAAGAGAATACAGCTAACTGATCCAAAACCCAGTCCCTGCACACGGACTTAAGCTCCTTTCCTGCTGGCTCTGGAGTGAACTGGCCTCTCATCAGACCTGAGCAGCCAGGAATGGCCCTATATGTGCGACACACTCAGGCTGGGGGCACTCCTGCTCCACAGCCTCCTGAAGGCTTCTGGGAAGTTACCAGTTTCCTCTGCTCTTCTCTGGCTGATTTCAGCTTCCCGTGCTGCTCCCGGATTCTTCTTTCGTGCAAGTTCATGCTCAGCCTCAGCTCCTCCAGTTCTCTGGCCAGGAGGTCCTGCTCCTCCTGCATGAGCTGCCTGAGCTTCTCCCGTCGGGCCTCCAGACTCTTCCTCTTCTCTTCCTTCATCTTCTCACGCTGATAGGCGTGCATGCTGGGTGAAAGGGGCCTGCCTGAATCAATCATGCTACAGCCACAGGGAGTGCGCTCTGCTCTGCTGTGTAGGTAAAAGAGGCTGACGTAGTAGATGTGTCATGATGACACAGGAATGTGTCCCCAGCTAAAGTGAAGACAGCAGGTCGCAGAATAGTATGCCTAAGAGAAAATCTTGTTTTTGCAAAAAGAAAATGTATAAATGTATAAATAATGTATATATTATCCACCACATGAATCCTATAGTATAGGTCTGCTGTAGCCCTACTTGACTGATGAGGAAACCAAAGCTCATACATTTAGCAAGAGACACGGTCAGGATTTCCATCTAGGTCTATCTGACTTCAAAGCCTATGCTTTCAGCCTCCATGTGTTTACATGTATTTCTATAAAAGCAGTTTTTTTGTGTGTGTGTTTATTTAAGCACAAATACCAATGAGTAAAAGCATGGAAGGATACCTGCGAGACTGTTAACTGTGGCTCTCTCTGGGGATATGGGGTTACAAGCAGGCTTCCAAATTCTATCATATTCTTCTGCATCATTTTATCTTTTTCAATGCCAATGTATGGCTGCATAGATGATCTTTTTTTCCACTTCCAGCTGGAAAAACATCACTATGCAGGTAATTCATGCTGCCTGGCAAATCCTACTCTCCCTAAATCCTTAAGGCCTCATCCCCTGACTGGCAAGTAGCCCCCACCTCCATCCAATCGGCAGTTACCGCAAAATTACCTCCGCTGGTAGGAGGTTTTAGAGCTCCATTCTGCCTGTTTGGAGCTACAGATATCAGACATCCTGAAGTAACGGCTGTTCTGCTCCCATTGCTGCCGAAGCCGGGCCTCCTGCTCTCGCTGTCGTGCTAACTGCTGATTCAGGTGCTGCTGGCTGTACCAGTAGGACGGCAGCGTGGGGAGCGCCATCTGAGAACAGGAATGGGAGGAAAGTGAGCCACTGTAAACCCCAGGAACCCTCACCAGCTTAGCCTCATCCCTTTAACAAGTGGTTACCACCCCTTGGCTGCACAGTGAAATCACCCGGTGGAACTTAAATCCCAGCTCCTTGGGAGGCTGAGGCAGGAGAATCGCTTGAACCCAGGAGGTGGAGGTTGCAGTGAGCCAAGATCGTGCCACTGCACTCCAGCCTAGGCGACAGTGCAAGACTTTGTCTCAAAACAAAACAAAACAATAAACCTTAGCCAGATGCGGTGGCTCACGCATGTAATCCCAACACTTTGGGTGGCTGAGGCAGGAGGATCACTTGAGGCCAGGAGTTGGAGACCAGCCACATCATGAGACCTCATCTCGACAAAAATCAAAAATTAGCCAGGAGTGGTGGCACGCCTGTAATCCCAGCTACTCAGGAGGCTGAGACAAGAGGACTGCTTGAGCCCAGGACGTCAAGGCTGCAGCGAGCCACGATAGCACCACTGCACTTAGCCTGGGCGACAGTGAGACTCTGTCTCAAAAAAAACCTAAAACATCAAAAATTCTGGACCGCATGCACCCAGCTGTGGGCCAGCCACCACCAGGGACACAACAGACAGACACAGGGATTGTCCTAAGACTGCTAGACTAGGCACATCGGGGGCATTTATGCTCTACTTAAACAGAGACAATAATGTAATGAACACATGTACGTGCCAAGCACTCAATACATACGACTTTTTTTCATTCTTACAATCACCTCGCTATTTGGCAGGTGAGGAAACTTAAGTTCGAAGAGGTGAAGTGATTTGCTCAGGATCACAGAGCCAGGAAGCAAAGGAAATAAACAAGCTGGGTTCCTAATTCATGTCCGTCTGAGACCAAAGCCCACGGTTCTCTACACTGCGAGGGGCTGCCTGTTGGGACCAACCTGCCCTGGCTCTGGCAGCCCCGTGGGAGGGACCTCGCCTGATATAACACTCGGAAGTATTTTGGGCTACCATGGAGGACAGACCTTTCACCCTGCAGATGAAGAAGCTGAGAGCTAGAGAGAGGAATTGCCTGAGCAATGCAGGGATACAGCTGGAGCCCTGAAAGCAGAGAGCAGTCTCACTCCAGGCACCAATTCCCCTGTCCCAAAAGCTGTCCTCGAGTGCAGGGTCGATGCAGTGCCTGGGTAGGAACGCCCGTCGAATGAGCGAAAAAGCCTGGTCCACGCCAAGAATCTCATATTCGAGGTCCTCCAGGTTTGGGGGCAAACACTCTGCATCTATGGTCCAAATGTAGCCGGCGGGCTGCTAACGTGTGATCTCGGTCTCGAGACCGTGGCAAGCTTCACATACTTTTTTCCCCGCCCCGTAAAACCGCCAGTGGATCAACTTTTGCATCAAGAGTCAAAAGTTTAAGATTCCGGTCCCAGATTGGCCACCCACAAGCTGATCTACTCCCCGAACACGTCGCATCCCTCTCTCGACCTGAACATGCACGTGCAATACAGGGGGTCACGGCGCGTCGTGAGGAGCAGAGTGAGGACCCCGGTGGCGCCCTGAGCTCGCGTCCGTGGACTGCCGCCCCGGTTCCCGCCCGCGCGGGCCGCCTGCGGGCCCTGCCCTAACGCCGGATCCGGCCGAGTCCAACCCCTCGACTCACATTTCTCTGAGTCTTGGAGTTTCCGAAGAGTCCCCCGGCCCGAGTTCCCTGCCCGGGCCAGTCCCCCGGTGTAATTCCCAGACTCGCTACAGCAACGCCGGCAGTTTCCGCCCTGGTTGCGCCAGCAACGAGCCCGACGACGGAGCGTCGCAAGGGCCAAGCCTCCTTCAGCGCGAAGGGAGCCTGTGTTTTTCTCTGGTGCCCCCTCGTGGCCGGCGGGAGATAAACAGCAAACGTCGCTACTCCTTGAACTAGGGAAGGATGGAGGCAAAGAATCTGTCCGTGCACTGCGCGTATTTGAGGATGGTGGTTACCATCACCTGAAGGTGAAGGCGGAAACCAGGGGGAGGAGAATATAAGCCAGTGATCCTCAAACCTGGCTGCGCATGGGAATCACCAGATACCAGCCTGGGCAACATAGAGGGACCCCTGTCTCTAAAAAAATTTTTAAACTTAACCCGGCATGGTGGGACTTGTGGTGCCAGCTACTCGGGAGACTGAGGTGGAAGGATCACTTAAGCCCAGGAGATCAAGGCTGCTGTGAGCCATGACTGTGCCACTGCACTCCAGCCTCGGTGACAGAGCCAGACACTGTCTCAAAAAAAAAGAAGAAAAGAAATCCAGATACCTTAAAAAAATCCAGATGCCCAAACGAAACCCCAAATCCCATCTGAGAGTACCAGTGTTTTCCAAGATTCCCCAGGTGTGTTCAATGTACAACTTGGGCAGAGACCTGCTGGCATAAGTAGATGGAAGTTATTGGTAATTTTTTTTTTTTTTAAATGAGACGGAGTCTCGCTCTGTCGCCAGGTTGGAATGCAGTGGTGCAATCTCGGCTCACTACAACCTCTGCCTCACGGGTTCAAGCGATTACCCTGCCTCAGCCTCTCGAGTAGCTGGGACTACAGGCGCCCGCCACCACACCTGGCTAATTTTTTGTATTTTAGTAGAGACGGGGTTTCACCATATTGGCCAGGCTGGTCTTGACCTCCTGACCTCATGATCCACCTGCCTCAGGCTCCTAAAGTGCTAGGATTACAGGAGTAAGCCACCGCGCCCAGTCAATAACTTTATATTATAGTATTATATTGGTGATGAGTTCAAGAGTGTTCATTCTATTAGTATGTTTTATAACTCATGTGTGCTACAAGCATTACATACCAACTATTCCATTAAAAAGAAACTGAAGAAAAATACTTACTTGTTTGTTTTCTTTTCTTTCATTTTCCTATTCTTTCATTTCTTCTTCATTTCTCCATTCTGTATTCATCTCTGGTTTTCCTGGATGCAGCATCATGGCCTCAGCTGGGTTCAGTGGCTCACGCCTGTAATCCCAGCACTTTGAGAGGCCGAGGAGGGTGGATTACCTGAGGTCAGGAGTTGAAGACCATCCTGGCCAACATGATGAAACCCTGTCTCTACTAAAAATAAAAAATTAGCCGGGCATGATGGCAGATGCTTGTAATCCCAGCTACTCGGGAAGCTGAGGCAGGAGAATCGCTAGAACCTGGGAGACAGAGGTTGCAGTGAGCCGAGATTGCGCTGCTGCACGCCAGCCTGGGCGACAGAGTGAGCCTCTGTCTCCAAATTAAATAAATAAATAAATAAATAAATAAATAAAATTAGCAGGCTGTGGTGGCGCACACCTATAGTCCTAGCAACTTGGGAGGCTGAGGTGGGAGGATCACTCGAGCTCAGGACAGGGAGGCTGCAGTGAGCCGTGATCACACCATTGCACTCCAGCCTGAGTGACAGAGCGAGACCCTGTCTCAAAACATGGCCTCTACAGTCAGAACGCCCAGGTTTCAAGCTATACCATGCTGGTGTAGTCTTGGGCAGGTCACTTCGTCTGTCTGTGCCTCAGCTTCCTACTCCACGGAATGAGAGTAAAAATAGTGCAACTTTCACACTGGGCGTGGTGGCTCATGCCTGTAATCCCGGTACTTTGGGAGGCCAAGGCTGGCGGATCTCTTGAGGTCAGGAGCTCGAGACCAGCCTGGCCAACATGGTGAAACACCATCTCTACTAAAAATATAAAAATTAGCTGGGCGTGGAGGCGGGCACCTGTAGTCCCAGCTACTCGGGAGGCTAAGGCAGGAGAATCGCTTGAACCCAGGAGGCAGGGGTTGCAGTGAGCCAAGATTGTGCCTCTGCACTTTAGCCTGGGTGACAGAGCAAGACTCTGTCTCAAAAAAACAAAGCAAAACAAAAAATAGTGCAACTTTCTAGGGTTGCCCGTGTGAGAATAAATGGAGCATGCCCAGGAGTAGGGCATCCAGTGCATCCCAGGTGAGCCCAAACCTGAGCCTTCTTTCACATCCCCCTTTAGTTGGCACCCGTTTAATCAGGGTCTGTCCCACTGCATGCATAAGAGTCCTCAAGTTTCCCTCCCATTAGTCCCTACCCCCTTGGCCAAATTCATGGCCACTCTTTCATGTTGTGTCCCCAATGCAGAGGGGAGGCAGCAGCCCGCTGCAGTCACTCAGCAGAGATGCCCACCCAACAAAGGAGACCGACACATAAATGTCTGTTGATAGGAACTTCAGAAACACATGAATTGGACCAGGCACAGTGGCTCACAACTGTAATCCCAGTATTTTGGGAGGCTGAGGCGGGTGGATCATTTGAGGTCAGGAGTTCGAGACCAGTCTGGCCAATGTGGTGAAACCTTGTCTCTACTAAAAATACAAAAATTAGCCAGGTGTGGTAGCATGCGCTTGTGATTCCAGCTACTCGGGAGGCTGAGGCATGAGAATCACTTGAACCCAGGAGGCAGAGTTTACAGTGAGCCGAGATCCAACCACTGAACCCCAGCCTGGGCAACAGAGCGTCTCAAAAAAAAAAAAAAAAAAAAAAAGAAAAGAAAAGAAAAAGAAAGAAAGAAATATGTGAGGTCGGACAAGGGAAGGGAGACCTGATCCTGATTTTGTGCTTCTTGGGCAAGACTTTTCCACTATCTGGGCCTCAGTTTCCTCATCTGTATAATGATGAGATAAACTCCACTAGCGGAACTTTAGGGCTTAGGGCTTGACCAGCATGCCGGAGGGCAACCATTCCCAAGTGACCCGATTCTGGAAGCCTGAAGTCTCCAGATTACAGCCTCCATTCTCTTTTGCTGGCCAGACATCCTCACCGGCCCCCTCAGTTCAACTCGGAACCTCTGGATTACATAGCTGCTGGCTGTCGCTATTAAGCAACTTTACAAGAATATTTTCCTTTGCTCCTCTTGGGCATTCTATGAGATATCTTATTGTCCCCATTTGAGAATTGCCTAAACTAAGCCTCAGAAAGGTGGCATGGCTTGCCTGAGGAGCCGCGGCTGATAGATGGTTGAGCCATGATTTGAAACCAGTTCTGCCTGATCCCAGTGCCTGAGCCCTCTTGCTGCAACACAAAAGCAGGGATCATCATGTCCCTTGCTGCAGTCCCCATGCCATGCCTTGTACATGGTAGGCTCTCTCTCTCTATATATAATATATATTATATATAACATACATATATATTATATATGTGTATAATAAATATTATATATAACATACATATATATTATATATGTATAATACATATTATATATAACATACACATATATTATATATGTATAATATATATTATATATAACATACATATATATTATATCTGTATAATATATATTATATATAACATACATATATTATATATGTATAATATATATTACATATAACATACATATATTATATATGTATAATATATATTACATATAATATACACATATATTTTATATATATGTATAACATATATATATATTTTTTTGAAACAGAATCTCACTCTATCACCCAGGCTGGTGGAGTGCAGTGGCATGAACTTGGTTCACTGCAGCCTCTGCCTCCTGGGTTCAAGCAATTCTCCTGCCTCAGCCTCTTAAGTAGCTGGGATTACAGGTGCTTGCCACCACGCCCGGCTAATTTTTGTACTTTTTTTCAGTAGAGGTGGGTTTTCGTCATGTTGCCCAAGCTGGTCTTGAACTCCTGACCTCAGGCATCAGCCTCCCAAAGTGCTGGGATTACAGGTGTGAACCACCGTGCCCACCCTCAATCAATGCTTGTGTTGAGAATGAAAAAGTGAATGGATCTCCAATTTTGAATACCTTCTTCTCCTTCTCCAAAGGAAAAAGGAATCTGTGATGTTAAGAGAAAGCAAAAAGAAGAAAATGAATGAGCATTTCTTGAACATCTGCTATGTGCCAGGTGCTTTGAGATATATTACCTTATTTAAGCTTACCTCCAACCTGGGAGGAACGTGTTCCTGCCCCCATTTTGCAGATGAGGGCACTGAGGCTCAGAGAGGTGAAGTAACTCTCTTGAAGTCACACAGCAAAGACTATAAAAGCCAGGATTTACAACAAACTTCTTAGACTGTGAATCCCTCTTCAGTGTGTTTTTCTGGGAGCTTGTGGCTTGCAAGTGTAGCTCTTTTTTTTTTTTTTTTTTTTGAGACGGAGTCTGGCTCTGTCGCCCAGGCTGGGGTGCAGTGGCCGGATCTCAGCTCACTGCAAGCTCCGCCTCCCGGGTTTATGCCATTCTCCTGCCTCAGCCTCCGGAGTAGCTGGGACTACAGGCTTGAGCCACCTCGCCCGGCTAGTTTTTTGTATTTTTTTTTTTAATAGAGACGGGGTTTCACCGTGTTAGCCAGGATGGTCTCGATCTCCTGACCTAGTGATCCGCCCGTCTCGGCCTCCCAAAGTGCTGGGATTACAGGCTTGAGCCACCGTGCCCGGCCGCAAGTGTAGCTCTTAAAAGAGGCCTGTGGCTGGGCACAGTGGCTCATGCCTGTAATGCCAGCACTCTGGGAGGCCGAGGAAGGTGGATCACTTGAGGTCAGGAGTTCGAGGCCAGTCTGGGCAACATAGTGAAACCCCATCTCCACCAAAAATACAAAAATTAGCCGGGTGTGGTAGTGCGCGCCTGTAGTCCCAGCTACTCAGGAGGCTGAGGCAGGAGAATCATTTGAACCTTGGAGGTAGAGGTTGCAGTGAGCTGAGATCATGCCACTGCACTCCAGCCTGGGTGACAGAGTAAGACTCCGTCTCAAAAAAAAGAGGCCTGCAAATGTGAACATACAAAGAATTTGGCAATATGAAATATTCAATTACAGGTCAATTACTACAGCGTGCAGGGGGCTGAGAGGGGAAGCTCTGGTAGGAACCCTCA